CTATAGTATAGTATATAGTATATACTATAGTATAGTATATAGTATATACTATAGTATAGTATATAGTATATGCTATAGTATAGTATATAGTATATACTATAGTATAGTATATAGTATATACTATAGTATAGTATATAGTATATACTATAGTATATAGTATATATAGTATAATATATAATAGACAAACACAATACAGAAGCCTGATGATGGCAGATGAGATTCTGCCGAAACGTTGCTACAACTTTAAAAGCACAACTATAATGACATGGGAAAATACCCGAACAAAGCTGAATAACAAGTACCCGCGAAAACTTAAGAAAACATATACATACATACATACATACATACATATATATATATATATATATATATATATGTTTGTGTGTATACATATATACATATATACATATACATATACATACACATACACATACACACACACACACATATATATATATATATATGTTGTGACTGAAAGGATTGATCCTGCTGTGAGTTTTGACTCTGATGACTCTGAGGATGAAAGGCTGGAGCCTGCTGAGAATTTGGAGTCTGAATTATTAGAAGACACAGATGTGAGCCAGGGGGATGAGAGGTTATCACACAGACACTCTTCGCCTGAACCCTCGACCTCATTCATGCCAGCAATTGATCCACAAAATGAGTCAGAAGAGTCGAGCGAGGAAGCTGAAAGATCGTGGCTTGATGCCAGAACCAGAAGGAGGCTGAAACGTCAAGCTGTGAGGAGGCATCAAGCCAGACGTTGATTTAGGGAGATTGACACGCCCATCTAGGTGGTTTACGGAGGCAAACTCAGTTAGAAGGAGGAGGGCGAGTCAGTAATTAGCACGTTGCCTCAAGGAGCATAAAAGGACACAGCTGTGTGGGGGAAGATTGTCAGGAACAAAGTGACTGATTACGTGCAGAGGTTTTCAGCAGAGGCTCGGAGCTTTGAGAATTTGTGCCAGGACTGTTTTGATAAACAGGGCGTGTGGAATATAATCTTGTAGAACTCCTTTCTGTTGGATTTAAGTTTTGGAACGGCTGCTTTTGGTTTTGTGTTGTTTGAACTCTGAAGAGGGAGCCATAACATTTTTGTTCCTGACCACAAACAAACCATCTTTGAAGCAAGATGGATTCAAATCAACTGCAGCGTTTGGTAGAGCAACAACAAGAACAAATAACTCAGTTTTTGCAAAGTAACGTGACACTTCAAAATCAGGTAACACAATTGCTGAATTATGTTTCCAGCTTACCAAGCACTGCTGCTGCTTCCCCTGCCCCTCCTGTGAGGAAAAGCCCGGTATCCATGCCAGAGAAAGTTTCTGGGCAAATGGACAGGTTCCCGGCATTTATGGGTCAATGCCAATTGTTTATCTCTCTGAGACCTGAAGACTTTCCAACCGACCGGGCTAAAGTAGGCTTTATGATTAGTTTATTAACTGGGCAGGCTGCCAATTGGGCTACTCCCTTGTTAGTTCAAGATAGCCCGTTATTGAACAATTTCCAGGGTTTCCTCCAACAAATGAGGGTGATGTTTAAGGATCCCATTAAGGTACAAACTGTGGACAGACGGCTAATGGATATTAAGCAGGGGAAACGTTTACTACAGGAATACGTGGCAGAATTTCGTTTGTTGTGCATGGACTCTAACTGGAACGAACCGGCTCATATGGCTGCATTCCAGGAATGCTTGTCTGATGCCATCA